TAATTTTAGTATTATGCATTTAAAATATATGTGTAACTACAACACTGTAATTTTTATTGGATTTTGACAACTTAATATTGATTTTATGAACGTTGCCTTTGTAAATTTTTAAAGCCAGTTTAGGCAGTAATTATATGGCTTCACTGTAACAGTTAAAGAATACGTGTTGTACTGTACCTCGGTCTGTCCCCCCACCCAGCTGATGGCTCTGCTCATACTGAACTCCTGGCCTCTTGGTCTGGATGAGTCATAGTCGCCCACAGTGATGAAATCTATTGTGCCATCTTTCATAACCTGCCAGTTTATGAGCTCGTAGACGGCCGCAGGATCACCATTGGAATCAAACCAGACCTGAAAACCATTCTTTGCAGTGAAGTTCACTCTCTTGAGCTGGTCGAGTATCTGCAGTGGAACATGTAATTCAACTGTCATTAATTGTTTCAATGTATTACTAAAACTATTCATTTATCACTGATGAATATCGACATGGTGACACATTGTGAATGATTATGTGGGCTATTCCACCACTGTGGTGACGAATGGTGTCTAGGCGCTTTAAAACCGTGAAAAATGGGCTCAAAGTAAGTATAAACCACAGAAATGTGATGTCTACTATTTTTTTTTTTCTATTCCTTAAGTAGCTAGTAACAACTCATTAAGATTAATGTTTTTTTAATGTTTATTTAAGTAAAGTTTCTTTGTCAGTTTATGCATGAAAAATAGTATATCAGAGCAGTGACTTCAAGGATACTGAAATTATATGATGACTGGCAACAAACGCATTACATATATCCCATTTAGATCTATATTGTGTAAAAATTATTATGAATATGCACGTTAAAAAAATGTTAACTATAAAATTAATAAATCTTGTTCCAGATCCACCACTTGTTCCATGTTTTCAATTGTGAAACAGAAACATAACATGTCATTAAAGAATTGTAGAGATATCTTAGGGGAACAATCGCTAACGCTGAGTAGTCTGTGGTCACTGAAAACTGTGGGGAGGATAAATCTGGATAAAACACTCGCGCCTTCATGTGTCCCAAAAACACTGATATTGGTGTTATTCATTAAACAACGACGATCCCCTTACAGTACAATAGTTGAATAGCCCATGTAGCCAACTTCATGCAGATAAATTAATGCAATGTACACAGCTTTTACAACTAAGTCACATTAATTCCAATTATGAGACAAGCTAGTGGCTGTATTTAAAGGTAGCAGTTGATACCTGCCATGGTGTGAATTTAGCGCTCTTGTCGCACTGAGTCTCATCACAGATAACACCGTGGATGGCATGCGCTATGGCATACGTAGCTTTGTACACCATGTTAGTCGCGCGGAGCTGCGACGTGTCTGTATATGGGTTCTGCAGCGCGCGGATATCCTCGCTCCCATCACATTCCCGCGCGCCCCCTGAGGAGCCTTTTAGACTACAGCTGAACGAGCTCTCCCAAAACTCCGTTAGCAGAGGCGATTTCAGTGCTTGTTCTGGAGAGAGATCCAGAAGAAACTCACGAAGACCTGGAATCACTGAGCGGGGGATGCCGAATCCTATCGCCCCAGCGCACATGTTAAAGCGCAGAAACTCTGGTTCTATGATCCACGCTTCAGTGCCGATCCACTGAAGGGGAGGTGGCGGCTGTCTCGCCAGTTCCTCCAGCAGAAACTTCATGTCGCCTGATGCAAGAAACGCTACTATTACCCGGGCTGTTGATCTGCGGATGACGTTTGCCACTCTCTCCAGTTTACTGCGCGGTTCTGTTCTGTAGTAGGACTCGGAGTACTCCACACAGATGCCCAACTCCTGCGCAGCCTTTAGAAACGCCGCCATTCCATTATTCCCATAGTCTGAGTCGCTGCGCACTGCCCCAATCCATGTCCAGCCAAAATGCTTCACCATTTTTGCTAGTGCGGCGGCTTGGTGGTGGTCACTTGGTATGGTCCTGAAGAAGGCAGGATACTGACGCTTATCACTCAGACATGCGCAGGTTGCGTAATGACTCACCTGTTGTTCAGTGTGAAGAAAAGAGAAACGTTATTTGAGAACTCTGATTTTACTCTATCGCTTATGTATGAAATATCATATAGTCATTCAGTTTTTACCAAACAGAAAAATAGGCATTTAGATTTTCAATATTGCATCATTTGGTGCAGCCTGTAATCACCTGTGGAATTCCAAAAAGACCCAGCTGTCTGGCCATGCTCATTGAGGGAGTGGAAACCGAATCTCCCACGAGAGCAGGAACAGCTGCGGCTGCAGATTTTGAACAGGAATCAGTATCATTGTAAAATGGTTCCATGCCGTTAGTAAACTGAAATGCAACTTTAACAGCCATCGGTACTGCAGCGCACGAGTCGTGTATCTGGTATCCTAACGTGATTCCCGGCAGGAGATCTGTTCTGTTGTTGATCTCGTGGATGGTGAACTCCATGGCACGAGCGAAGTGCAGCCCCCTGAAATTCATACTGTTCAGAAACATAAAATATGAAAATATTGAAACACAACCAAAGTTTCTACTGTTTTAAAGTAACTAACTCAATAAGTAGCAGATGACTGCAAAAAAAAGTGATTAATTGATTATTAAAAATTATCTTGAATGTTCCCCCCAACTGCTCATTCCACACTCACAGACAGACCTCCCAGAGCACTGTGGCTGCAGTGGCTGTCTGGTGTAGGTGTTCTGCTCTGAGCTCGTGTAGAAATGAATAGAAAAAATCCCTCCAATTATAAAATCTCCATTCATTGAAAGACCAGGCATTTGAGGCTCAGCCCACAGCCTGCAGCTGACCGGGTCAGCTTTACAAGCTGCTGGACTGAGCCCAGTTATCCACAGCGTTGATACAAATGTCATGAGTCTTGAAGTGAGCTGCATGGCATGCTCGGTTGTTCCACAGCTCTCTGAAGGCTAGAGTGACAGTCTTTATATAGCCAACCTTGTATGATACACTGTGTGTCTGAGCTCAGATTCAGGAGGCGTGGTTATGTCTTGAATAGTAATTGCAATGATGTATTGTACTGGTGTATTGAATGATGTCATGAAAATACTTAAAGAGGCTGAGTAACTGCAGGCCTCATCATCTTCAGTAAATATGAACTATACATCATGAGTCTCAGTTTTCTGTAATTCAGAATTTGAATATTAGCACATTTTATTGGCTGATATCCAGTGTCACCATATCCACAATGCAGTTTGTGTTCACCTGATGTAAAGTGATAAAAAGCCATTTGAGGCTAACATATAATGTTTGGCATCGGTCAGAGGAAAAGTCAGGTGAGGCTGTAATGTCTGCTCAAACATGCTCTTTGTTAAAGGAGCAAGGCAGAAAAGCCACTTGAAAAGCAAATGAAACAGAAGACGTCAATCCTATCCATATGCTCTCTCCTTTATTGTAAACACTAGCCTACACTAACTAACCCCATGCCACAACACATTAAAGCACATAAAACATATAGATACATCTCAACAACAATAATAAGAAGTTGCATGTATATAGTGCATTTCACAATTTGACATTAACTTTACATAACAAAGTACACAAAAAAGGACACACAACAAAGGAAGCTAAGACAGCAGTAAAGAAGGACGAGAAATGTTCATGAAAAAGAAAAGTCTTTAAATCAGATTTGAAAGTTGAAAAAGAGGAGCAGACGCAGAGAGATTGAGAAAGAGAATTCCAGAGTTTGGAGGCCATGGCACTGATGGCCTTACCGCCCAAGGTGGAAAGTCCGGTGCATGGGACAGCAAGTAAGTTATTACAGGAATATTTGAAAGCAGTTCACTGAAGTAGAGGGGAGCAAGGTTATGCAAGACCTTGAAAGTGAAAAGTAAAATTTTAGACTTTACACAGGACAGGGCCTATAGCCAGTGTGGCTGAGAGAGAATGGGAATGATGCAAGCTGAACACTCAGTATAAGTGAGAAATCTAGCGACAGAGTTCTGAATATACTTTAGCTTTTCTATAGACTTTACAGCCACATGCAACATCTCATGGCAGGTACACATCCTGCTAAAAAGGACTGTTTGTTGTTTTGGATATGTGTTGGTTATGTTTTATTGCATGGGGTGTGAGTTGTTTGTGCATGGGAAGGTCACTGTGAGGGTGAAGTCTGTGGCTGGTGGTGACCTCTCCTGTGGTTTGACTATATGTTACATACCTTTCTGCTCTGTTTAGTAAAAAGCACTTCTCATGGTGGAAATCCTGGCCTCCTCTGGGTCTTACTCTATGCCAATGCCACAATATATTCAGCTAAAATAGCGTATGTAAACAGCCAACCAGATGGCAGGATTCAGACAGCAAAGGATACTGGCCAGACAGTAGGCAAGATAATGCCAATCAGACAGCAGAATTAAGTTAGTCAATCAGAGATTTGGTTTCAGTTTGCCAATCAGAATACTGAATAATGAAAATGAAACAGAGAACAATATTCAGCTAGACAATCAGAAAGCAAAATAATGGCAGGCAATAAGAGAACAGGATTCAGCTAGCTAAATCAGGCAGTAAGATTCAGCTAAATGACCAGTGCTGACACTGGCAGTCAAACAAATAAAGGATACTGGCCCTTAATCAGAGAACAGTATTCAGCTAGCCAGTCAAATAGCCAGATACTGACAGCTAATCAGAAAGCAGTACTAGCACCCAATCAGAAAACAAGATTTGCTGTCAGATGTATCTCTACAAGTGTAACATTACAGCAGAAAGAAAATCAATTACACTCTAAAATTGTAATTTAAGTTATGTAGCAATATGGTTTTCCAAATATTTTGGAGAATTTCTATATAGATTTAATATTAAGTAAAAAGATGACAACAAAAATGGGGGCTTTTGTGTGACAGAGACCTTACACATATTTATAAAAATACAACATAAAATACAGTTTAATTAAAAAGATGTATTTGTGAAGCAATTTAGTGCATATAAACTTAACCAGCAATCAGCACATTTCATATAGAGTGCTGAACTACAGTGCTACATATACAGTTTGTGTAAGAGTTTCAAAGAGACTTGGAGGGAACTTTACCCATAAGGTGTTTCTTGGTATTCTGCTCTGGCCTAAACATGATTATGAAACACTTAGGTGCAAAAATACAAATAATCAAACCAAAGCTTGAGGCCAGAATGGCAAATATCTCTACAGCTACAGTGAACTTTCCAGGAGAGCTGACATAAGCTGGGATAAAGGTAACCCACACTGCACAGAATATCAGCATGCTGAATGTGATGAACTTGGCCTCATTAAAGTTATCAGGCAGTTTCCGTGCTAGAAAAGCCAAAATAAAACACAAAAGAGCCAGAAATCCTATATAACCCAGCACAGCCCAGAAACCTATAGCTGAACCTAATCCACATTCCAGTATTATCCTTTCCTTGTAGTGATTTAGATTTTTGAAGGGGAGAGGAGGAGATATTGTCAACCAAATAACACAAATAAGAACCTGTATGAGAGTGAAGGTGAGAACACTGAGTCTCTGCTGTGGAGGCCCAAACCATTTCATGGCATTACTGCCTGGAAGTGTAGCTCTGAAGGCCATTAACACCACTATTGTTTTCCCCAGAACACAGGAGATGCAGAGGACGAAGGTGATCCCAAACGCTGTGTGGCGCAGCATACAGGACCATTTAGAGGGCTGACCAATGAAAGTAAGTGTGCAGAGGAAACACAGAGTCAATGAGAAGAGCAGCAGGAAGCTCAGCTCTGAGTTGTTCGCTCGGACGATGGGAGACGTTCTGTGTTTGAAGAAGACAGCAGTCACACTAACAGTTATGATGGCCCCAGAGATGGAGAACACTGTCAGTATGATGCTCAGCGTGTCATCCCAGGACAAGAACTCCACAGGTTTGGGGAGGCAGCTGTCTCGCTGGGTGTTGGGCCAGAACTCAGGAGGGCAGCGCACACAGTTCAGAGAGTCTGAGAGATTAGAAGACAGTATTCAAAATTTTATATTGAAAGAACCACAAAAGAAAGAAAGCAACTAAACTGTGACTGTCCCTAACAAAATTGCCCACTGTATTGTGACATCCAACCTGTCTTATTACTGATCTCTCCTTCTGCACATGGTATACAGTCATAGCAGCAGACTGGCTTTCCTTTCTGCACAGTCTTCCTGGTGCCTGGAGGACAGCTCTCACTGCACACAGATCTTGGGACCTGAAAGACATTAAACTAACACAATTAATTTATTGTTTGTGAAAAAAAATCACAATGCTATGTACAGATGAATATTTTCCTTGGTCAACACTTTTTACCCCAAAAGAGAATGTGAAATATTTTCAAAATTTCAAATGTTGAAACTGAAATATTGTATTGTTTTTGAAAATACATTGCCAATTTTGAAATTGGTGCCTGAAATACATTCCTAAAAAGTTGGAACAAGGGCAACAAAAGACTGATAAATTTGTGTAGTACCAAAAAAATACCTGGTGGAACATCTCACAACTAATGAGGTTAATTAGCAACAGGTCAGTAACATGACTGGGTATAAAAAGAGCATCCCAGAGAGGCTGAGTCTTTCTTTTTGCCTGCTGGCAGTCCAGACCTCCTCACCTAGTTTAGTTTACACTCTGCACCGAGTCCCTTTTTTGGAAATGGGTTTGTACTGAAGTAAACAAATTGAGTGCGATTCATTTTCTTTTCTTTGTTTATTTACATACATTAAGTTTATTGTGTCAAGCTCTTTTATATTTCCGTTGGTAACTTTTTACTTGGTAGAACCTTATTTGCCATTTTATGTATAAAAATCTTAGCACTTGAATAATATTTGAAGGAATTTCATTCCTGATGTAGAATCACGTTAATAAGCTTGCTGGTTTCTGTTAGTCCTTATTTTTAATTTTTTTTCATTTTATAACAGGTTATTTTCATGCTAAAGTTTAGGTTTTAATGTTTATTACATGTAATTACCATAACCATGATAAAGTTTTGTGTTGCAGTTTACCAAGTCAAGTCTCTGTTACAACTATAAAGGTCAACAATTAGCTGTCACATCTATTTAGACAGCAACTAAAAGCACAAGAGCAATGAAACCCTCTGTGAACATTGATTGTTTTGTAGTCAAATGCTTGTTATTTATAGTTTATTTATTGTTTGCTATTCTAGAGTTCTTTATATCTATCTCAGTGTCCTGTAGGCCTGGCATTAGCCAACAATGCACAGGAGTTAAAGTAACAGTTATTTATTTATTGTATGTCCATTCATTACATGTTTTTATTTTGAATAAGTAGTACTCAATTTGTTTTGTTTTCAGTTAGTTTATGAATGCCACAAAATATGAGTAATCATTTATGAAAGTTTGAGTTTTTAGTTACTGTAAATTATTAATTTAAATCACTGATTTAATTTATTACTGAAAGCAAAAATATTTTAGTTACCTCAGCTTAATGTATTTGTGTCACTTTTCATTGTCCTTTAAGTGTTATGTAAATCAAATATATATGTGTAATTAACATATAACTTGTCATTTTGAAATTTTTTAATTTCTGATTTTATGACCTGGAATTGCTTTTGTGAAAGAAGCCTTTTAACAGACTTTTTAGGCAATAATTAATGTAACTGATTGTCTTAATAATTTTCACTTTTGTGAACTTTTTTGTTAACAGTAAAAGAGTACGGAAAGTGTTGTACTGTACCTCTTTCTGTCCTCCCACCCAGCTGATAGCTCTGCTCATACTGAACTCCTGTCCTCTTGGTCTGGATGAGTCATAGTGGCCCACAGTCACAAAATCCAGCCCACCATCTTCCTTAAATTGCCAGTTTATGAGATCGTAGACGGCCACAGGATCACCATTGGAATCAAATGAGACCTGAAAACCATTCTTTGTAGTCAAGTTCACTCTCTTGAGCTGGTCGAGTATCTGCAGTGACACAGATGTTTTTAAAAACTGTCATTTTGAACTGTGAACTCCGATCATTTTTTTCAGAGCATTAATAAATATATTAATTTATTATGGACAAATATTGACACTGTGATTTATTGTGAAGGATTGTATGGTTCATACTATCGTGGTGACAAATGTTGTTCCAAAACTTTGAAAGCATGGAAATAATATAAAAATAAGACAGGACAGTGATGTCTGTTCATTCTGTGCTCTTTTCTTAAATTAACCAGAGAGTCAAACTTTTTTTTCTTTTAATTTGATCATCTCAAAGAAATTTTTTGTCAGTTATGGGAAAAAATATTTCGGAGGATGAAATACTAAACCTACGAAGTCTATGGTTAGGGAAATCTGCTTTTATATTTCTGATCATTTTGGCTAAAATACTGTCACTTTTATGTATTGCAACATGACTGTGATATCGGTGTTACTCGTGAAGCAACAAGTGAGTTTTAAATTGAAATAAAATAACAACATAGCCCGGTTGTCAAGTCCCAATTAGCAAATTTAATACAAATTAAAATATAATAAAATCATGCTACTTCCAATTAAAAGGCAAGCTGGGATGCTGTTTATAAATGTAATAGTTTTATACCTGCCATGGTGCGAATTTAGCGCTCTTGTCACACTGCGTGTCATTACAGATAACACCGTGGATGGCATGCGCTATGGCATACGTAGCTTTATACGACATGATAGTGATTCGCAGCTGCGACGTGTCTGTATATGGGTTCTGCAGCGCGCGGATATCCTCGCTGCCATCACATTCCCGCGCCCCGTCTGAGGAGCCTTTCAGGCTACAGCTGAACGAGCTCTCCCAAAACTTCGTTAGCAGAGGCGATTTCAGTGCTTGTTCTGGAGAGAGATCCAGAAGAAACTCACGAAGACCTGGAATCACTGAGCGGGGGACCCCAAATCCTATCGCCCCAGCGCACATGTTAAAGCGCAGAAACTCTGGTTCTATGATCCACGCTTCGCTGCCGATCCACTGAAGGGGAGGCGGCGGCTGTCTCGCCAGTTCCTCCAACAGAAACCTCATTTCACCTGAGTTAACAAACGCTACTATTACCCGGGCTGTTGATCTGCGGATGACGTTTGCCACTCTCTCCAGTTTACTGCGCGGTTGTGTTCTGTAGTAGGACTCGGAGTACTCCACACAGATGCCCTCCTCCTGCGCAGCCTTTAGAAACGACGCCATTCCATTATTTCCATAGTCTGTGTCGCTGCGCACTGCCCCAATCCATGTCCAGCCAAAATACTTGACTATTTTTGCTAGCGCAGCCGCTTGGTGGTGGTCACTAGGCACGGTCCTGAAGAAGGCAGGAAACTGACGCTTATCGCTCAGACATGCGCAGGTTGCGTAGTGACTCACCTGATATCCAGTATAGAAAAGTAAAAAGAATGGTTATAATATGATGGTTCACCACTTATTAAAATACACAAATAACAGCAAACTTTTTTTTTTGTTTGTTTTGGCAAGAACCGGTGCAGCCTACATTTACCTGTGGAATTCCAAATAGACCCAGAGTTCTCGCCACACTAATTGATGAAGTGGAAGAAGAATCTCCCACGAGAGCAGGAACAGCGGCGGCTGCAGATTTTGAACAGGAATCAGTATCATTGTAAAATGGTTCCATGCCGTTTACAAACTGAAATGCAACTTTAACAGCCATCGGCACTGCAGAACACGAGTCGTGTATCTGGTATCCTAACGTGATTCCCGGCAGGAGATCTGTTCTGTTGTTGATCTCGTGAATTGCGAACTCCATGGCACGGGCGATGCGGAGCTCCCTGAAATTCAAACTGTTCAGAAACATTCATATATTTGAAACATTTATATAATAAGAACATTTACAGAAAAATAAATAAATACATAATAATAATAATAATAATATAATAATAATAATAATAATAATAATAATAAAACAATAGGTTTCTCTGTTTTACCAAATATTTTTAGAGGTCACTAACTCAATAAGTAGCGCAGGACTACAATAATTGTCAGTTCAATTAGTATCATTTGTTTGTAATTCTCCCTACACTCACAGACAGACCTCCCAGAGCACTGTGGCTGCAGTGGCTGTCTGGTGTAGGTGTTCTGCTCTGAACTCGTCGTGAAATGAATAGAAAAAATCCCTCCCATTATAAAGTCTCCATTCATTGACAGACCAGGCATCCGAGGCTCGACCCACAGCCTACAGCTGACTGGGTCAGTTGTACAAGGTGCTGGACTGAGCCCAATTATCCCCAGCATTGATACAAATGTCATCAGTCCTGATGTGAGCTGCATGACATGCTTCTTAGTTCCACAGCTCTCTGCAGGCCAGGATGACTGCATTTAAATAGCCACCTTGTTGTGATACACTGTGGGTGTGAGCTCAGACTCAGGAGGCCTGATTATGTCTTGAATAGTAATTGCAGTTATGGAATTTTTTTTTTATTTGTTTGTCTCTGGTGTAATAGTGATATCATCAAAATAATAACGACACTAAGCTAAATTACTGCAAGCCCAATCATCTCCAGGAAATATGCGCTTGAGGCCGTTTGTGCTTAACAGCAGCCGGTCACAGTTATCCACAACTTAAACTTTGAATTTTTGCACATTTTATTTGCTAATATTCAGTACCAACTTTATCTGTCTTATCTAAAAGAATGAAACATCATTCAAGATAAACATTAAATATTGTGGCACTGCTTAGAAGAAAAGTCAGGTACAACCAAAATTTCTGCTCAAAAATGATCTTTGTTAAAGTAACAAAGCAGGAAAGCCACTTGAAATGTAATTTAAATAGAAAAAAGTTCACTCCTAGCCAAACGCTTTCTACTTATGGTCAACACTTGCCCACACCAACTATACCCATGCCACAATACACTAAAGCACATAAAACACATAAACACACCTCAATCCCAATAAATAGCAACATTAAACACAACAAATGTCATTTAAAGAGGGACATTTATATGCTACCTATTAGTCTACAAAGTACATGCTACCTATTATATCTATTCTTATGGCCTTTTTCCATGCACTTATACAAGCTCCAATGGCAAGGTGGCCAGAGGCAGAATGCATATCACCTCATTTAAAGGTCACCAATCCCAGTGACACACATTTTTTAATCAATGTCCTTTAAGTGCACAGAAGGGGTTGCCTCCACCACAGTCTCACTGCAGCAGGGCTCTCAGAATGTTTACTGTCCTGGTTGGAATGAGCACTGGGGGCCTCTTCAGGGTGATGCCCCTAATGCCATGGCTCCACCTGGCCCAGCATGGTCACCCATTCATAAGGCCTGTACAAGGCAAGTCAGTTCCTATGAACTTCAACAGTCTGCTGCCACACCCAAACATGCTACACCACCTCACCCAGGCATTCTTTTACCACACAGGGACCCTCCCAGACTACAGCCTAGGGCAAAGCCACTTCCTATGGCATGGGTTGTACAGCCAATGGCAATGGCAGTTGTCCTTGACAGCACGAGCCACATGTCCTTTTCTAGTGGGCCCAGGCCTCACCCTGATGGCTCCGAGTAAGCTGGTGCATAGCATGGAGAGAGTCGCGGAGCTCCTTGGCATACACCTCTTGTAACTCTGTCCTCCTCCATCCTCGATGGGCTCCCAAAGACCAACTGCTTTCTGAGCATCAGTCGAATATAAAGAGAGATGAAGTGAACCCAGTTGACTCCGGAACAGCAAGACAGTGAGCAACCAGGACCAGGGGCAAATGTTTGTCCCAGTGACAAAAATCATTTGATGTTTTAAAATTTGAGTCAAGTGTGTAATGAGGAAATAATACTATTTCACTGAGCAGTAGAAGAATCACAGAAGGCCATATTTCTTTTTATGGAATGCTCTTTTTATTGAACAAGGCCAAATATGCCACTGAAGTGCTATGGGAATAATGAGGATGGTCACTTCTAGCAGTGTAATTTCATTTAGACACTTAACCCACTATAACTAAACTCACAGCCCAGCATAATAACACAGAATAAATACATTTACAGCCAGGATTGGGGAGGGGCAACATGCAGCACAGCTTTTCATACCACACCACTCAAGTACCCTTTTTCAACACAGAACAAGTGGCAGCCACTACATAGAGCAGAGCTTAGGGCAGGGTGCCCTTCTCTGTCACCTGGCTGTATAGCCACACCTGCACCCCAGAGAAAGGGGCTTTCTCTGGCAGTGTGAGTTGTATGCTCGCTTTTGGTGAGCACTGGCCACATCCTAGCATTCTCTGGTGAGCTGATGCATGGCTTGGAGTTGGTGACGGAGCACCTCGGTACACCCCTCCCTAGGTGTGCTGTTTTCCCCTGACTCTGGCAGGTGAAAAAAAAATGGTTCTGTGAGACACTGGGTGGAGGTGGTTGACTCCTGCGTGGTGGAGTGGCATGCCAGCAGGACCAGTGGTAGATTACATGGGCAGCAGAACAGGGAATCAGCATTACCCAGCATGGTACTCACCCTGAGTAATGACAGTACCAGTGTCTTGCATAGCTGGGTGCAAGGCAAAGACTTGTTCCATGTCCTGTTCCAGGTCCAACACCTGTTCTGGCTTACCGTTAAGAGTGCTGTGTCCCATTGGAATGCGGCACTCTTATCAGTGAGCCAGTGCAATGTGAGCTGGGTGTGGCCATATCTGTGAACCCATGAATGAAGTACTGGTAATACGAAGACAGAATGAGGAAGCTTCACAACTCTCTGACACTCTGTGGCATGGGCCACTGCCACACCTTTACCATAAATTGCCATAGCCCAGTTCCCAGTGTGAATGCCATCTTTTCTCTGGTGTCCTGAGTGAGTGCCACCTGCCAATATGCACTCTGATGGTCAAACAAGCTGAACCATGCTGAGCTGGTGAGCTGCTGATTCGCAGGAGAGGATTAAAAATACATTTTGTTTATTCAAAATTTTTATTCCGACAACATTCTAATTGCCAACTTAAAAATTCAACAGTTACTTGTAAACCATATCAGGTTTTATAGCCTGAAGTTTCCACAGATATGGATAACCAAGATTTCATTTGCATGTGAGGTACACAACACAATGTTGCAGAAGGATGTCCAATGTGCAGTGTTTGGTACAAGGAACTGTGAACCACAAACATGCAAAAAGAAGGTAGTAAAACAGACAAATTCCAAAATCTGGAATTCCAAAATTTATGACCCCAACATTTACACGCAACAACAACACAACAACAGGAAAGAAAATGCGCAGAAATGTAATGTTACTGTTCCAGGGGTGTGTTTCTGTAACTGTATTAGCAACAAATATAAATTAAGTTACCCGTATTACATTTTAACACATCCGTGCAGTGAAAACTCCCACATACATACTAGTTTAAGCACCAGCAATAGGGGTCAGTGAGCACACTTGCCCAGAGCGGTGGGCAGCCCCATCCACGGTGCCTGGTGAGCAGTTGGGGGCTAGGTGTCTTGCTCAAAGGCACTTCAATCACATACTGGTGGCTCAGGGGATTGAACTGGCAACCTTCCGGAAGTTTGAATTGAATGACATAAACGCACTGTGAAGTTTGGGCATTTTGTTCACTACAGAAGTCCAGAAAGGCCATAAGGTAGGTATAATTTTCTGTGTTGTCTCTTGAGATAACAAGTTAATTGTCTTGTTATCCCGAGATAACAAAAGTTGTTATCCTGAGATAGCGATGTTAATTATCTTGTGAAAGTTGTTATCTTGAAATAATGAGTTAGTTATCTTGTTATTTCGAGATAACAAAAGTTATTGTGAGATAATGAGTTATCAAATCAAATCAAATCAAATTTATTTGTATAGCGCTTTTTACAACTGATTTTGTCACAAAGCAGCTTCACAGAAATCCGTTTAGAACAAAGTTTCAACATGAAATGTAAATCCTCCAGGTGAGCAAGCCAGGGGCGACAGTGGCAAGGAAAAACTCCCTCAGAGCTGAGGAAGAAACCTTGGGAGGAACCAAGGCTCACATGGGTGGACCCATCCTCCTCTGGTCAAACTACGTACAAAATTATTATTCTACTAATATTAATAGTAGTAGTAGTAATAGTT